AGGGGTGAGCAGAGAACTAATTCTTATCTCTGATCTTGTCACAAACCTAAGCAAACCATGACAGATAGGAAGTGATTTTTTTTTATTCAGACTTTTAAATGCTATGCTTTTCTGCCTGTTTATTTTAAGTGCCCTTTACGCACATGGAAGAAGTGTTTGCTTTGTTAGACATTCAATACCGCAAGTATCAGGAAAGTTCCAAATTCATATTGCTAGATTTTACTACTAAATTTATCAACAAAACCAAAGAAAGATTAGCCTGTGCCTTTTAATCCTGTATAGAGCATACGTCTACCGAGTTCAGTAGACAAATATATATATATATATGCTGCTTTCCTATCTTACATAAAAGAAAGAAACAAGAACTATAAAAACTTCTTGAAGATAACAGGCTCCTGAAGGTTTTTGCTCAGCTTTTCCTGAAAAGCAACAAGGGGCAAAATGCTGAAATATCACACCCAGGCAACATATATGTCCTTTGGGTGGTAAAGAGGGTCACGCACACAACTGCATGTCATGCCCATGGCCATCAGCTCCTTTGCTGACCTGGTCACGCCTTTCTCCCATGGCTAGAGAAAGCAGAATGTAACTTAACTGACATATGACCTAAATCAGATTTACAGACAAATCAAATCCTCATTTCCAGGGAGCTTGTTTCAAGGCTTACATTAAGGCAACTTGCAACCTAGGCTCAGCAGAGATCATTCTTTAAATCCTTTGGTATGTTCCACTTTAAAAGGTTTACCATGTCTGCGGTGGACACTGACCCCATTCAGTTCTGCCAGGGAAATGGCAACACCATGATGTATTTGAGATTTTAATTCATGTCAGTACACCAAAGATATGATATAACAGAAAAAAAAGAAGTGATGAATCACCAGCTGAAGATTTTCAGTGAGAAAATACCTGTGAATTAAGGACAATATTTTCAGAACGAACAAGGCTTTAGAAGCAGAACAATGCAGAAATCTAAAATAAATGTTATAGCACTCAACTTTAAAGGCAGCATTAGCTCTTTTGTCTTGGGTAATGGGGAAGAGAAGGTGACAGATTAGAGTTGGGGAGAGGGAAATCATGCAGGCTCTGATTAATCAGAACTGTCTACCCACATTTGCCTACGCAGGCAGAATTAAAACCATCAAACAAGTTTCAGTGCCAGATCTCAGAGGCTGTGGTGCAAATAATGTGCCCTGACATTTTTAGAGTTAAAGCGATAGGGATGAGAGCAGCATTTTGTCATTAGAAGTCCTGTGGTCATTTGCAGAGGATGCCACAGCTCTACTTTGAGAAGAAAAGAGTTAAATTACTCAGAGCTATTACATCCTGTCTGCTGCTTGGCGGGACCACATACTGTGACAGCTGCGAGCTTTACATCCTCTACAAACTGACATTTTACACACATACCGAGTGCATCACACTGTTCAGCTTGTTTTCTCTATTAGCCTTAGTAATTAAAAAGGCAGCATTTTCTCTGCTAAGAGGTGTGCTAATCCCTCTCTTCTGCCTTTATGGTTAAACAGCAGAACTTTACCTTTTCATTTAGAAAGGTTCTCTTTTTATTACTAAGGGCATCAATACATGCTACATGTCTTCCCTTTTTAAAACAGCTTTCTTTTGTTGTGGCTGGGATTCTTTTGTTTGTTTCTTCTTCTTAACTGGGATACAGAACAATAAATTCACATTCAGTTCTGACCACATCTGAACAAGTCCATAGCTCATCCAGATAATCAAATCTGATACAAATTTAAAATAAGTATCCATTATACACATTTATGTCATGCTACCCATCAGGGCTTCTTCCACTGCCTTGGTACAAATCAAAACGACAAATGGAAAAGGTTAATCTAGATCAGAGCTGAACCTATATTAAAAAAAAGAGAATCTACATTAATGAGGCATTCCACTGCTCCATAATTACCTCTGTGATAATTACATTTTGAAGTACTCATAAGAGATACAAAGCCTTTACTGGCTTTCGGACATCTTCTGTCACTACTGAACTCTGTCTCCTTCCTTCTACATCCCCCATTTTACAGTCCCTTCCTCTGCCACTGCATTATTCAATGTTTATGGTAAATAAAGGTGAATTCCGACAGGGTTTAACAAAGAGGCAACTTGGTCTTCTGGGTGCGACACTGGGCCAGTACCTACAGATCCCCCAGCTTCTAGGATTTCTTTCATTCAATGACTTTACCTACCTACGCCTGTTATGTCTCAGAAAGCATGAGGCATGAAATATCCTGGCAGTTATTTAAATGTCAGGAGAAGACAACAGAGGTGGTCAGCTCTGCTCATCCTCTAAATGCCTAAGACCTTTGCAAGAGTTACCCAATGCCTCAACCTCCTTCCTCCGGGAGCCTTTTTCTTCTCCATATTCTTCCACTTTCAGGTTGGCGGGTAACACGTTCATAATGTCCCCAAAAGAGAGGCACTTCATCTCAGAAGAGCAAAATTGCCAGAGAACACCCAGCATCCAAATTTTAAATTACAGCAGAAAATAATCTGATCATACTGGCAAGCTGTGTATATGCTATCAGTCAGTTTCTGAAATTGCACATACCAAATCTTATGCCTGGAACAAGAGATTCTCCACATTAGCCCTCACACAGACATGGTGTGCAGCACTCAGCATCTCTTAACACACCAGATGGCACTGGGAGGTTGATTCCTTAATCTGTTGACCAGCTGTGTCTCCAGCATGGAATTGCTAGAATTGAAGGCAAATGATACTCCACCTACTGGGACTCTAACACTTCAAGGGTCCCTTCTAGAAGATACTCTTCTGCTGTGCCACAGTGTTTTGGTCACCACTCTGCCATCACAGGATCGCCAGTATCAGATGCTGTCCTTGTCATGTGGCTTGAGACAAACTTTCTTGTGCCACACAGAGCAAACTAAGGCTTGCACAGGGGCCATTATGCATGACTTTGTTGCAATATCCTGAGACAGAGAACCTTTCACCAGTTGTCTAAGAGCCAAACTGCTTCAGACCAAGAATGCATTTAACTCAGAAAGCTGTCTCCAACAGGGCTTAAGTGACACCTAAAGAAGAGTAATATATCGGGGCAAGCATGTAGGATACCTGCCCCAAATATTTTATGTACTTCCTCTCAGCATGTCTGGTTTAGTTTCTACTGAAAGGAATCCAGTTTGTGCAATATGAGAACATTCTGTGGTGTGAGGTAAAGGCATATTAAATGGGGAGGATCAGGGGGTACACTTCAAAAACGCACTCCTGATCTGAATTAAAATGCTTGTATAAACACAGAGATAGATATGGTAGAGGAAAAAACAACATCACTTCCACCTGAACCCATCTAAACTTCTTGAACCCACAGCATTCTCCAGAAAGGAGTTCCACAGATCCGCTGCCTGCTGCATAAAGAATTACCTGAATTACCTCCTCTTTGTTTGTTTTGTACCTGGCCCCGACTAGTGCCATTTGAGAACCCTTAGTTCTTACACTGGAAGAGATGGCAAACATTCAATCCCTATTCACATGCCTGCCGTGACTGAGGAGACCTCTACCTATTCCATTCCCTGCAACTCTTCTCTTTTCTAGGCTGAAAGGACACACCATGTAAAGTCTTCCTAATATGGAACCTGTCTATATCATCCTCACTGCTCTTCTCTGAACATTTACGTTGCTAACATAACCTTCTGAAAGAAAGTGCTGTCAAAGCATGGCCTATACAGTAGTATGTAATAGTATACGCTTGCTGTTTCACCCTCTATTCCTTTCCTATCAGGTTTTAACATACGGTTAACATTAAAGCTTCTTAACATTTGCCTTCTGGATCAGCACTGACCTAATGCACTCATGGAACCATCTGTCATTATCCCAAAACCTTGCTCCTGAGTGGCAACACCACAATTTGACCCTAAAAATGAACAATAACTTACAGACAAGTTTGCAATAACTGGAATAACATCAAATGTAATATAGGAGCCATTTATTCAGATGCACATTAGCACAAGAAAAGCTGTCATTAACGCATTACACTGTTCGTCAAGAAGTTTCTAGCCATTATTATATGGCCATTTCTTGCTACACTACAAAGTCATCATCTAATAACCAAACTCTTAATCCTAGTCTCCTGGAATTTTACACATTTAGTCTAGCATCTGTCCCATTTTCCCTTAATCCATCTTTTTGGCATGTTTGTGCCTTACTTGTCTTTCTTAGGATTTTACACCATTTACAATATATTCCAAGTGAAAACATCAGGCACTGCCTTCATAGATGTATAACATCTACTTCTGGCAGACTAGAGTAATCAAATAAAACAAAAAGAAAAAAAAAAACTTCTAAGAGTTACACAACAGTATCTTCTTTTCCCCCATGATCTTTTTGCTTTAAGTCACAAAGAATTTTAACCCCAGCTTTTCAAATACCTACCTGTGTATGAAATTTGCTGTGGAAAATCGGTACTGACTGATGTGATCTAAGCAGCATTTCTCATCTGAGTGTGCACTCAGATCAGTAAAAAGACAATCTATGACACACATGGTTTGTTTATAGGGACCTAGCCAGAATATACAGTTCTTTCAGCATATGAAGGGGGTCAGACAGAAGCAAAGACAGTTATCTGTGCATTCCTACTGCAGCTAAGCCTACCTAAAAGGCTGCCTTCTTTAGAAATGCAATGCTACAGTGACTTGTGTGATCATGTTGCCCTGACAACCAATGGAGATCCTCTTTACAGTTAATCTAGCAGACATCTGTATTTTTGGGACAGATAGCCCCGAGTTTCATTGCTCACCACCACTCACGTTTCTTACCCCCACAATAAGGCACAGAGATTACCAAAATCAAAAGTGCATCGTACAAACCTAGAGTGCGGTTAGCTGGTGTTAACTGTTATGTTGCATCCCTTTACCTCAGTGGCCTGTCTGGGACTGTTGAAGCACAGATCAGTACATGACAGTGTGCCTCAGAGAGTCTGTCTTGGAGTGTTCTGATTTACAAAAAAATCAAAGAAGAAAAACTGCACACATACCTTCAGGACAGTCCACTGCTCTACAACAATTGCATCATAGCCCTGCATGGTTTTACTGTCTTCCACAGCAACATCTTCAAAGAGAAAGACTCCATCCATTGTCCCATGTAAAGAATCTGTGAAAACACAGGGTTATCTGTAAGCTTTATGGAAGACACTCCATGTGTAGTGAGGCATTTGAATTTATTAATCACAAATTCTTCCAAGGATGTTAATAAAAAAGTGCAAACACCTTCCTCTGATAGTCTAGCTCTATTAAATGAATGAGACTAACGTCTCTAGCAGGTTTTAAGAGCAATCCTACTCTCTAATAGCAAACCTCACTGTCCACTCCATTATTGCAGAGTTTGTCCTCAAAAAACACAGCTCTCTCATTTTGAGCAGGCAAAATTAATTCAGTCCTCAGTTCAGCAGTACTGCTTACCTAGTTGAAGTTACACACACACTTTGAGGGCTAAAGACCATGTATTATGTCAATTTTCAGGGGGTTTGAAGGTACACTGATATTAATGACTATACTCATTCATTCACCCAACTCAGAACCCTAGATATGGATCAGCTGTTGCAGTTACAGTGATCTACATGGACTAAGGATGATCTGGCATAACCGAATGGTGTGAAAGAAAAGATACATTCATAACTATTTAATCAATTTACGAAGGCATTTTGACCATCTGGTTTAGTGGCTCTCTATTCTCATTTGCATTCCCAGCACATTCAGCCTTTTTTCAGACAACACATACTATTAAAGTTACTTGAGCAGCACTTTCTCCTTCAACTTAGCCGTTTACTTGATAATCAGCAATTGCTCCCATATGCAAGAACTCAAATTTTGTCAGCTCCATGACAGAACAGAATCAGAATAACAGGAAAAAAAAGGACTTACCTTTCTTTGCTAAAATAAGCTAAATGATAAAACAATAGAATTATATTTAGAAATACTGTAAATATGCAGTACTGTACTCTTTACGAACACAGACAACTCCTCTCACATTGTCACAAAGAATGTTTTTCAGCCTTTCTAGCTTAAATAATACATTTACCCTGTATGACTGATTATAAAGACCTTGCTCATCCCCTTCCCAAGCATTGTATTTTGCATGATAGTTTCTTTACATTTTTAGGAAAACTATGTTCCTTGCACTGGTATGATATATGGCTTTGAAATGCAACCACACGTGCCAAACCAACAGATTCCTGAATTTACAGGAGAGTCTTCTGGATAAGCCTGCTTAGCTGTTTCACCAGGTCCTCCTGCTTTCCCTGGTGGATGTTATGAGGTCAAGAAATGCCAGCAGGAAGGCATCACTGCCTCCAAGGGAAAACATGTATCAAACTCAGAACCAATTTCTACAAAGGAGGCAGTGAAGAAGATTAAGAGGCTTCCTACCTCTTGCAGACACAGTATCAGTCAACCTCTTGCAATGTCATTATATGATGTAAATTCAATTTATTATCTGGAAATAATAAATTTGTTGTGGGCTTTGCCCACAACAAACCAGACTCCTGCAGTTGGGAGGCTTACATCTACAAACACACTATAGCAAGACTGTTGCTGCAGGTGTCAAGCTTTTGCACGCCCCTTTGCTTCTGTTTGCACAGTCCACTACTCTCTCTTGCTGCAGTTTCAATCAAGTCATTACGTTGTAAGCGTGCAGATGCAAATACTTCTATCTAAACTAACACAGCGTATTTTTTTTTTCAGTTTGGTTGTGAAGGGAAAAAAGCTGTAAACCACTTATTAGGGACTCTCCTTGCGATTCTGTTGGGAGACTCAAAGGAGTAGAAAAATATACTGTCTACTTTCACACTGACTGTCTTCCCAGGCAGGTTTCCTGTAACTCCGTTTAGAATAAGGAGAGATGAAGACTCCTCACCACTACAGCAAGCCAGTATTACACATTGCTCCAAGGAGGATGAGCTGGACTACAAAGCAGTAACTCCTGTCATCTAGACAGATTTCTCATCCAAGTGAGGAGAACAGACATTTTTGTTGTGAAATAACAAGCCAGATCCCTAAGTAGCTGGGTTACAGGTTAGAAAACATAGGGAGAAGAAGCTTGCCACGTACAAATGGGTACAAGATTTAATTATCATATTTCATTAGATCCTATATTTCCAAGTGGGAACCAACTCAACTTCTGTGCAATGCATCACATTCCAACACCCAAACCCATACCCGTATCTATTTTAGGATGCATAATGTATAAATAACCCTTTAATTTTCCAAAGCAGGGATGACAGAACAGCAACTAAGGCTGAAAGCAGGAACCTACAGATCCCTAACAGACACAGACACTCAGGTCTTGCCAGGAAGCTTTATACAGCGCCGGTGCACTGCTCCTGTATCGTGAACTCTCTTAATGAAATGCAGTGTCGCTCTGTTGGCACAACTGCAGCTTGAGCTCGCCCCACGCATTTGCCAGCTAATTAATAAGCGATCAAAACACAATCAGCATGAGTGTGTTTACACTCACTCGTAAATCATCCTTTATGTTTCACTCTGCTGCGCATTCCACTCGTGCAGTTCACAGCTTCCACGTATGTGAACATTATGGCACATATGTAAAGTTTTAGAAACTAATAGCTGAGCTCGTGAGACCCTACAGGCAGCAGATAAACTTGACTGTGCTTTCTTGTTGGATGTACAATGACTACTGTTGAATGCTACATCCAGGCAACCCTAAGATCCATTATTTTTTTTGGCCAGGAAAGAAACCTATATAAAATGAGAAAACTGGAAGGGGAAAAATGATGAAGGGGAGACAGCTGCTGCATATCGGTGTGTGCTCAACAGAGTGATGCTGGTGAAAAACTCTGTAAGAGAAACTGGTTGATGATGCTTATTAAGATTTTCCCCCTTAACCATAACCAAGTTTCCTCTCTACCTGTTGTGCCACATTTAAACTTTTGTACCGTGAATGCATATCTGCCAATTCTCACACCTTGACTGTACATCTTCCCTTTTACAGCTCATCTACTACTCTTCAGACAAAAGGGGGAGGTAAAGGAAAGAATAATTGGATCATTAATTCCTTCGCATGTGAAGCATTTGGGCTGCTGAGAATAATTGGGAGGAAAGGAGAAAGCAGCACAAAGAGAGCTAATGGGGTCATATTTTGGAGAAAAGGCACACAAAACCCATGCTGTGG